AAGAAAGCACTGAAAAAGTTTCCTTCTTATTTTCCTTTGTTTGGGGAAGCAGAAGACATTTTACCCAAGCTAGTCTGAATTCTACTTCATTGAGACTTGGGATGGCAGTTTTGTCTGCTAGGAAATCGGCTTGATATATGATAAAACAAACTTTCCATCATCTTTTCATGATTCTTTACTCTTTCTTCGTATCCTTTTATGTCTCTAATGTGACTACCATATTTCTCACATTAATTCTCATTTGCGTTGACATTGGCATTTTCCCGTCTCCTCCAGGTCACTTCAGATTTCCCATTCTGTTCAAATTTGGCAGAGGTAGGAAAATTATCTACATCTGAGAGCTATGTGTTTTAAATCATTTTTAAGCCTCCAAGCACTACAAAAAATAAGGCAATGATGTCCGCAGGCTGGCCGTGATAGGAAGTAGGAATAGCTAACCAATTATTTTGGAGTTTTCGGGGATGAGTGAGTTGGGGGATTTAAAGGCAAAATAAATCTCTTAAGCCTTGATGAGTTGTAAAAATAAAAAGAAAGAGATGGTGGCTTACATTATTCTTGGAAGCTCAGTATGCCTTCTTGATATTAATAAATAGCCAGAGTTCACTTTGGCCTATTGCTTTAATTTAGGCATATAGCTATTTTAAGATACTTTTAAGTTGCCCAAGTAAAGAATATGTCTTAAATTTTTACCTGAAAACATTAAAGTACATTACGTTACTAGGTAAAGATTATATTATTACATCAGAAAAATGAGTTGGTTTATTTTTTAAAAAGTATGTCATGCATTTCAATTTCCCCGATTTTTTTTCCCAAAAAACCAGAAGAGGGCTCGTTTTTTCTCTAGAGCTTCAGTATTTCCAGAATCACTGGACACTGATGTTTTTCTATATTTTGTCAATACAATGTGGTACAGTACTTCATCTTATCCCCAACCCAAAATGAGACAGACTTAAATCATCTTTAGATAGACTATGTTAAAATATTGTTTTCCCTGTATTCTGACATGTTCCAAGGACAATGACAAAGTGTATAAAATCTATCAGGATTTGCCACTGATTACCCAGGAGGGGAGCTAGGTGACTGAATGTGACTGCTATCAGAGGTAATAGACCCAACGATCAACAATGGAGAGGACAGCAAATTTCATGGCAATATTGTTTTCTGCCAGCCAAAGAGTAGGTGGAGAACACTTCAACTCAGCAGTTAACAGCCTTAAACTTTTAAAATTGTTCTTCCTTCACAGTATAAAGAGATGTCTATTGTGTCAGTTCTGGGCCAAAATGTTTCATTTTATTTTATTTTATTTTATTTTATTTAAAATATTTGTTTCATATATTTTGCATGGCATAGTGTCAAGTCCTGTGAAGCTGGCACACTCAGGAAAGAAAAACATATTTCTAGAAATATCTTTATTGCTAATAGGGTAATGTAATAGAATCGTGAAAGCCTATCGAAGTAATTCTCCTACACAACTTACATCTAGTGTAATTAAGGTGGAGTTACTCAGAGTCTCTTTCTCACACTTTCCTCTCCCCTGTGAAGACAAGTTCACAGCCACATTGCGTAAGATAACACAGACTTATGTAAATTTCATCCTATTCAGATATATAATATCCTCCTTTAAATATTATATTCTTGTTTTTATTATCACTTATCAGGCATTTCAAATTAATACTGCCTTTTCCAGATACATATACATTCAACATTCCATTTGCTAAATTAACTTGTCCTTGGTAAGATTCATTAAGGCTTATAATTACAGATGTGCTGAGGATATACTGACTTGATCCAGCAAGAATCTGTTTTTCCTTTCAAAATCATGTCAAGTAAGCATTAATTTGCCAACATATATGCTGTTTCTTTGTATCTTGTTCTTTTTGCAATTCCTGCGCAAGCCTGAGTTTTCTTTTAGGACATTTGATCTTGTTTTTCGCTTTGCATGGGCCTCAGCTTTGTAAAGTCTGTGTTCCCTTTTAATACTATGCCGTATATTGCAGTAATGTCAGGCTACATTTCTCCCTTTTATCCTTTGCAGAGAATTCCTTTCAGTTACATCATTCAAATCATGGGGTATGATTTCTCAATTACATACATTCTCAAGGGAAATTTCATCATGAAGTTTGAAAACTTTACTATATACTTATTACATTCTGGCAATGATCTTAACAGCTGTTCCTTGATTAAATCGAGGTTCATAATATTGTGTTTTAGTGTCTTCTGAATACAGAGATATTCTGACACACATGGGATTACTGATGTCCTGCAAAAGGAGGACATGTCCTCCTTTTTGTCCTCATGTCCCCCATCTCTTTAAAACCAAATAGTGTCTGGCTTTTTGAGTATCTACAAGCTATCTCTTCCTGAACAGCTTTTCTTCATAGCACAGCATTTTCCTAACTGCTAACCCCATGTTAAGAAACTCAGCATTGTGATCTTAATTGGTTGAGTATTTCCCTCAGCTTGCCCCATGGCCTGAAACTGACAAGCCCTTAATCAGTTACATGCTGAAGGCTTTGCCTCCTACCTGCTCTAGCACATTGAAAAACCAGTCTTTCTGATGCTAGAAAAGGTAACTTCATATACATGTATGCCTACGTACTTTTTTTTTGTTTTTCACTGTAATTTTTGTCATGCATGCCAAGAAAGCGAAACAGTGTGACCTCCTTTTCCCCATTTGTCCTCCTTTCCAAATGTCTGTATCTTCGTTTGCCTGTTCAGGTATCTGGTAACTCTAGAAATGTGTTCCATTAAACTTCAATTCCCTGATAATTTCAGATCTATAAATAAGTATTATTGCTCATTCCCGGGCAATTTCCAGTTTAGCTTGCCCCCAGCACACTCCCATATCCAGATATCCAGATCAGAGCAAGCATGTACACTACTCAGTTCTGTTAGCAAATATCTATCTATCTATTAAACATCAGCAATCCTCAGAAACAATTAACTGGCAAAATAGGACAAAAGGCAGCTAAAAGCAGGGGAAGAGAGACATGAACAACAGGCAAGAGATAAAAGGGCAGAGAAATTAACCTTAGCAATCTGTATTACCTGTATCAATGCATCTAAAGACACAGAACTTTCCCAGAGCTACAAATCATACAAGACAATCCCAAAGATTGTTCCAGCACTAATCCTTTTATATACATAAAAGCAACAGAACAAAGATGGATACAAGGTGATCCCTCCTCTATTCTGCACTATGAAGGAAACAATCTCCTGGATAGGGATAATGTTTCCAACACCCTGGACACAGGAATTTCTTCTGTAATAGCACTGTTTCTTAAGTGCCTTGCTGCCCTTTCTATATTCCCATGGTCTGTTAGGCATTTCATCACACAGTGTTAACATTACACTGTGGGGAGCCAAGCTGAAATATTATACTCAAGCTTGCTATGATCTCTGCATTTGAGATTGTTCATAATATTGCCTGATGCACCCTTATCGTGTTTTATCATGGAAACATTCCCAGTATAAACAATTTATTTACATCTGCATT